CGCTGCTCTTGAAATTGAAAGCTAATAATTGCAGGTTTTGTGCTGTATTCCTTTAGAGTGTCAATTAAAACAATTAGATGCATGGACGTATGTTGCAACATACGAAACGTCAAGTTAATATTAAGGGTTTTTTTTTAGGACCATGCGTTGTCGACTGGTAATGTTTGTAACCGCTGTTTGTTTTCTTTTCCTTCTGAAATTGAAATGGCCGAAGAACAGGGATATTTATGATAGGGAAATGTCCTGGTGCCGAAAACAAGGATCAAGGTCCCGGGAAAGACAATAAGATCGTTCTTTCACAATCACGAAATGACTTGACTAGCGATCACTCAGCCTGAGGTAACGGCACAATTACGTTCATGATAGTTGGCCGCAGGAAGTCAAATAAGCTGGGTATATATGTATATTTATTTTTGCTGAAAAGCTGCCATCATAAAGTAGTGATACATGTATATCCCAGCTATGGGGCTGTATATGAAGTAGAGTTTAATTAATCTTCTCGTGAGCTACAAGGAAAAAGATTTGGAAAAGAGAGGAAAAAGCTGATTATCCTACCTAATTTGTTGTGGTCCTCTACCATTTTCCTCTCGGATGGGAAATCTCTGTATCGGGGCAGGCTTACGCGGGCTTCGGCGTCTTCGTCACTTTCAGCATCCGCATCTTCTCTCCACAATTCATTTGCGTATTTCTCGATTTCATCATCTTCTTGTTCGTCTTCTTGTTCGTCGTCCACGTCTTCTATAGGCAGATCGTTAGCCGCATCCTCAGCTTCATCTTCCTCTTCAGGCTCATCTTCCTGTTCGCCTTCATCTTTCTCTTTGTCTTCTCCCGAGGCATCATCTTCCTTGGTTTCATCTTCATCTTGAACCATGTCATCAGCTTCATCTTCCTCTGGGTCTTCTTCCGCGGCGTCATCTTCCTCTGTTTCATCCTCATCTTGAAGCATGGCATCAGCTTTATCTTCTCCTTTGTCTTCTTCCGCGGCGTCATCTTCCTCTGTTTCATCGTCATCTTGAAGCATGTCATCAACTTCATCTTCTTCTTCCGTTGCTTTTGCGGCTTCATCTTCCTCTTGAGACTCTTGCTCCTCCTCAGGTTCGTCTGCCTGTTTGCCTTCATCTTTTTCGTCGGCTACTTCCTCAGCTTCATCTTCCTCTGATTCATCTTTCACCATGGCTTCCTTAGCTTCCTCTGCTGCTTTTTCGGCTGTATCATCGCTTTCTTTCGCTATTTCTTCAACCTTTTCCACGGCAGGTTCATCCTCTTCAAATTCCTCATCGATTTCATCCTCTTCCGCATCGTTAGGTTCCTCTTTAGCCATGCCAGCTTCTTCAGCCATGTCAGCATCGTCAGCCAGGTCAAATTCATCGTCTACCTCCTCCTCCGGGACATCGAACGTTCCCTCTTCGTCGTTCTCCTGCTCATCGTCAGCATTCGTCCATGCGCTTTGTTCATTGGAAAGCCACTCGTCAGCCTCTTCTTCGTTTGGGTACTTGGGGATATATTCATCTGCCTCGACGCTGTCTTCCTCCATTGGGTGCCATGGTGCTGGATCTTCAAGAGGATAGTCCTCGTCTGATTTGTCGAAAGCCATCTCGTCTTCTTCAGGAAGGAAAGCACGCGACAAAACTTCATCATCGCTGAATTCTTCCTTTTCTGTTTACGGCAAAGATAAAACAGAGTTAAGATTTAGATTTTTTGAGCTAAATTAAAGTGAATAAATGGGGGTACTTCCAAAAATCTCTCGGAAGATCGAAGAACAAGTGGATAGGTGGTTCATAAATTGGTTAGGCGGTAATTGTTCGAACTCAGGCAAATCAGAGGCAAAAATTGTGGATACTCAGCTGATTCACAATAAACGGCACTTCAATCTGTTTAATGAACTCAGCTATAATAATGCATGTCAAGGTTTGTCCAACCAATTCCATTCGCAAACCAATGGAGATTACATACTCCCTAACGCATCCCTACTGGTATTGTTCTCGAGCTTACGCAAAAATAGAGCAGTTTTGTGTTTTAGGAATGTGGCAATGATCGGAGGAGGATTCATGTCATTCGGTGAAAAATTCACTGGTGCGTCAATTCAATTGGTTGATTCTCGACCGTCAAAACTTCTTTTAAAAACAAATGCATTTCTCTTCTACCTGGGTGCAATAACATAACCTTGCATCGGATTTTGAAATGCTCTCTATACTGATACAAATATTTTTAGAATCTTCGCAAGAATCAACTCCTATGATGAAAATGAAACCGACGGGTGCATGCAAGAAATGCTGAGATCGAAAGTTCCAAACGCGTAGAACCTTAATGTACTGTGAAGCTCAATGGGTTCGCTGTTAGCCTCCTCCGCGCCGCACGCTCTTGGGGTTTGTCCGTGACAAGCTAAAAGAATCTCTGCACATGATGCTACTTCAACTATCAAAAGCTTGGTTGATAAAGGAAAGTCCTAGCCACTGCCGGTCAAGTCTGTTACGAAACAGCTCCATGGTCAGGTGGTTGCTAACTTAAGCTGAACTCCACTGAAGATCCAGAGGAAAGCGTTAAATAAATGAATAACTTTATTGACCAATCCTCCAATAGGGCTTTTTAGGGCCATTGGTAACAAACAGTGACACAGTAGAAGGCAGACCAGTTGGCCGGTCACGCATAAAACATCATCTTCAGCGAAAATCTTAATTGCTTTATCGAGGTTTAGTTCTTAAGCGAACTCAGGTGTGAGTGCACATGTCACTTCCAATGCACCGTTGACCGACAGCAGCGACAATGGAATAATCAATGTTTACGCTTTCGGTTGCAGACTGGTCTAGACACCTTCCTAGGAAAAATCTCTTGCATTTGGGCTCGTATTTCAGACCAAAACCAAAATTCCCTCTTTGTTGTACATAAATCTCTGTAATTGTACTCGAGGGATATGTTTTTTAATTGCGTTTTTTCTTCCTGAGTTCATTATCAATAAGTTTCTTTCTCAAAGCGAGTATTGGTTCCTATCCTTTCATAGGAAAGTGAGAGTTCATTCACATGCAAATTACACTCATTTTCATATAAATCAGTATAGTTACGAACCAAGCCTCGTTTTGATAGAGGCTTAAGGCAACTCGAAAATGACATGTTCAACTTACTTGAATTTGTGATTTTAAATGATGGGTCTAAAAACAGTCATCGGGATGGGGGAGGGGCATTTCGTACTCTTCAGGGAGTTTGATAGCTTTGATGCTTGCGAATTGAAAGGACAAAATAGAATACAGCCTTTTGGCAGTACTTATGTGAAGGAATTTAACCACCGTGTCATGGGGTTAATCTTCATTAACTATCAATGTGGACCGACAAAAAAGACAAACAAGAAAACTAGTCCTGTTCCAGAAATCTTCGAGTTTCTTCGACTACCAGTTTCGAGTTTCCTTCTGTACTTCTATCAGTTAACACTGGCGTCCTGGAATATGACCTTCGTAGGGACACAAATCTTTCTGTAAATACATTCGGCTTTAGTATCGTCGAATGGGTGGAGAACAATTGGTACAGTGCATGCAAATTGCTTTTCGATGCACAGTGGCACCTTGAACTCTCAAAGGGAAAGAACTAGTAGTTTGAGTCTCAGTTATTGAAAGTAAATTGCTGAAACAACACATCCAGCGGAACATGATTTGAATTCTAGATAGCTGGGAGATCAAAGTTCCAGATTGCGTGTTTGAACTGTTTTGTTAAGTTCTTAAAAGTAAATGGGCATCTGAACCCCGAATAATTATCACTACCATCAATTCAAATGCTAATCATGAAAGATTAGAGACAAGGACATTTTGGGCAGGGAACAGTTCATGTTGCTTAGAAGAGTATTAGCTATCTGCATTAACCTGATGTGAAACTCGATTTCGATCGAAAGCAACGCGAAAATTGTTTCATTGGTTTTATCCTGGAAGTTACGCATAAGACCGCGTTAAAAATTGATGTCACTCATTTCTTTACAATTCCACGATAGTTCTTAAAATGCAGGCTGGCAAGTGCTAAAAACTTCTTGTAGCCTTTTCAGTGCTCCTCTTAGTAACTGGTATTGTGTCCGAAATAGAAAATCTTAAGATTCTGAATTACCTTATTAACATAATAAATGCAGTTCTGTTCAATTTATTGGACATATATCAGTTTTCTGGCAGTTACTGAGTTTGACAGTCAGACATCGGAAAAGGGCGCTTCATGAAAAACGAGTCAACCTTTTGCAATTTTTGAGGATCCTTTGTGTCATGAGGAGGAATGATATTCTTTTCAGTATTTCAACTTACTATTATGGAAATACCTGGAATGTGTTCACTCAATGACGAAGCAGTTTTAAGTCAACTTCAAATCAAAATAACACCATGAATATACGCAGCGAAGCGAGCAAGCACGCCTTTCTTCCGTCAACAACGGAAGGAAGCGTGGATTGTGTACAGGACAATGCTTGTACAAAGGCTGAGTGATTCGAGGCATTTGCGAAAGGTGTTATATGCAAAAACGACCACTCATGAATTGAGTCAAAATTTCACTTTCTAAATAACAACCGCAGGCCTAAAGTACAGTCCCAAACTTATAAGGAATTC